CTCATAGGGAGATCGCTGGATTTATCAAGAAATGATTGTATGAATAATTTAAAAAAATATGGGCTTTTAAGGGTTGTGAAAAAAGATAATGTAAACCCGTATTTTTGCTCCATTTTACCAAGTTTTTATTTATTAGGATAGTTTAAATTATCAAAAGGAAACAATAATTTCCCTATTTTTATATACCAAACATTATCTCAATTTATAGACATAATAAAATAAATTATCTAAACCTGTAAATATCTGTGACGTAATTAAATTGATACCTGCTATCGCTTTAATATACTGGGTCTAAATTTATTTTTAAAATTTTGTTTTTTATAATTATTAATATTAAATAATTTTTTTTTAATTATGAAAGTGGAGCAGTTTTTGAGATATAGTCAATTCCATATTAAATGACAAATTGACTATATCTCAAAAACTGTTCTACTTTTTTAAATTTTGACGACATTTTCGGATTCAGGGGCCAATTTTACATAAGAATTGGCTATTAAGTTTTGGGATACCATTCCATGGTTAACGATGGTACAAGTGAAAAAGCAGCCAGTAATAACTATTAAATTAGTCATTTTTGACTAATTCATTTTTAGAGATCATCATTACAATAGTTTACAGCAATTTTGACATACAAATTTGTATCCCGGACATTTAGCAGTCAACTCCTATGTAAAATTGTCCGCTGAATCCGAAAATGTCAAAAGTTATAAAAGTAGAACGTTTTTGAGATTTAGTAAATTTTTCATAAAATATGGAAATGGACTATATATATATAAGATATCTTAAAAAGCTGTTAAATTTCCGGGATGCAAATTTCTGTGGACTAAAGTTTTTTACTTCGAAAACTAGTAATTTTTGACTAATTCATTTTTAGAGAGAACGTCACTAAATCCAGTTGTAGTTATTATATTGTTTGGATTGTTTTTTTTTTGTTTTCTTTAGAGTATTTTTATCACTGAATATTTTTTGTAATTTTGTATGTTTGGTAATTCAATAAATATTTTTTATACTTAATTAAAGCGGTTTTTTTACATTTTCAATTACATATTGCCAGTTTGTCGCAAAATATTTATTTTTTAAATTTAAGAGCTTAAAATTAAAATATTTAATGTATTCTATTTAAATATAAAAGGGGCGCACCAACAAATGCTGCACGTAGGCCCCAGACACCCCAGGAACGGGCCTGGTTATGTTGTCCTGAATATAATTTTGCCCAAAAATTATAATTTTTTTTACTATAATTAGAAACTTAATTTTTCTGCGATAAAATCATCTTAGCAAATTGTAAATCACATATTACATGGAAAATATTTTTTTTCAAACTTTCTTTTATTAATCCAATCATGCATAGTTTTGGCCTTTTGGCCCCTTTTTCACAAAGAAAACTTAAGTTATCAGTAACGTAAAGTGAAGTATAATATATAATATAAAACGGTTATATAATATATAATATAAAACGGTTTACTTTAAACAAAAATTTTTTAAATAAAAAAAATTGTGTAGAATTTAGTTTTCTGCAAATGGGTAAAATTAATATTTTAAAAGATATGTATGTATGTAAGTTATGTATAACAGCAAAAAACTATTAATTCTATAGAAAATCAAACTTTGAATCAAATTAATTTGGAATTTGAAAAACTAAAACAATTTGTTTTAGTTCCTAAAATTATTTTTAATTATTAATAATAACGTTGTATAATGATTCATATAAGAAAATTATAGTTTTATCAAAATATAGGTAACCTTTCATAGAGTTTATCTAAAATAAATTTGGTATGTGTAAGTAATACTTTTTAAGTATGCCAATTTCAAGGGATAAATGTATGTAATTTCGCTGACCCTTAACCTATTTAAAGGAAACGAAAGTGTGTGGCACTACTAATAAAATATATTGAGCGACAAAAAAAGGTTGGTCAAAAAAAATTTAAGGAAATAAATAAAGAATACATTTAAAAAATATGCAAATAAAATTTTTAAATGGTAAGGTAATATAATCTACCTACCTGAAAAATTCTAGGAAAGCTCCCTTTAGAAAAATCTGATGCAACTTTATTACTTGTTGATTTTGATATACTATACATACCTACATTTATGTATTAATGTAAATATATTTATAGCAAAGTATAACTGCCAAAATTATAAATAATTAATTGTATAAAAAAATGCAGATAAGAGTTTATTAGTTAATTCATTGAAAGAACTAAATATTTACAACTACCTAACTTGCATAAAGTGGTATATTTGTTAATAAAGTAATTGTTATTATTATCGTTTCGTTTATTATCAATAAATACTTATTATACAAATTCTTTTAAGTTAATTTATTTCTATGAATAGCATAAATTTAAATACTACTTATATTTGTACATACTATACATATGCATGTAGCACATTTTAGCAAATATCACAAACAAATATTATTTAAATTCCATTATGTATGACATATTTTGTGTATACAAATTTTTGTAGACTGTACTTACCTGTATATTTATTAATTTAATTAATATTTTGTGATGCTATCTGAATAAACTAAACCAACAAAAATTTAGTATATTTCTGCTACCAATTTAAATTTATTAATAGGTACGCAGAGTTTTTAATTTTATTCAAATTTTGTTTAGTCTGTCATTTTTAATTTTCACCAAATTATTATTTTTCTTAAATTTATTTGCTGGACAGTTTTACCCACACCAATTAAACATGTTTAAAAAATAACCAGTTCTTAAAAAACAAATTATTAAAATTATTTAATAATAATAATTAAAATAGTTTTTGTTAATAATAATTAATAAACTATTTTTATTGTATGTTTATTGAATGCTAGTAAAAATAATTTAACAAAATCAACCAACAATTACTCCCTAAATAATATTAATAAAAAATATCTCTTCAAATAATAGTATCAAATAATAGTATATTATGTATCAAGTTTTATAAACGCCATTTTAGTTACGATTTTTATTAGGCAAGAGCGAAGCTTGCGAGCGAGTGTTTAATAAAAACGAGTGCCTGGAGAAGTTTATAAATTTTAATTAATAAATATTTGACATTTGACAAATTAAATGTCACTTTTTCGCAATTTATAATAAAGCTAACTTCAGCCCGTGACTAAAACGCCATAAAGTCAATGTAGGAGTAGATAAAGAAAATTAAGAATACAATTGAGAATTTTTATTAAAAAAATAATATAGAAATTATAACAAATTTAACTTATTTAATAATTTATAACAAAAAATGTTTTTAAAAATCCAGAACTTATAGATATTACACTGAGAGAAAAGAATATTTTTAACAAACGTTGCAATTGTTTCAGCCTGATTGCTTTGAATCAAACAACTGAAATTTAATTCAACATTAGTGCTTTTGCTTAGAATGAGTGAACTGCTTTGCCAGAAATGGATGATTCGTTTAGGCTGCTGTGTTTGCTTGGATTATTATTAAGTTCTATGCAAACTTTGTACTGATAGTCAATAATATTAGGTTTTTTACGTTTGAATTAAATTTAGGTGGGTTTTCATAAAACGTGCAATATTTTCCACTAAAATTTATTAATGGGTTAACTGAAATAGATAAAACTTATAACAAATCTGCTACAATTTTTGCGAAAAGCTCAGCATTTGCAAGAAATATAATAAGTTTGTGTCAAACATATCAAAGTTAATGGGCAATTGTGCTTAGTTTGGAAAGCGCAATTTTTGGAGTGGGGGAACGCCTCTTGAAACGCGTCTTCTCGTGCACTTACAGTGTCTTATAAAGTTTTAAATTTGCCTCCACTGTATACATACGGTTCTTACAAAATAATTTTGCATCCATAAAAACATATGGATGAAATGGCATAACGTTTAAGAATATTTTATAAATAATCGGCCTTATCACGAAGTGACCTAATCCACAAAATTGAAAACAGTGACATTTTGCAAGAGTTAACTTGCGATGGTTTATTCTATTACTTCACGAGGTGGCCCATAGTCAAAGTCTGTACTGTAAAAATACATAGTCCATTTCGTAAGAATAGAATAGAGTAAGTTAATCTGCAAAAAATCTCATTTAGTTTTTCAATTTTGTGGGTTAGGCCACTTCGTGATTTGGCCGACGATTTATACAATATTCTTAAGCATTATGGCGTTTCATCCAAAGAAACCGTAATTTCTCCAAAAATGCAGGTATGTTTAATGGAAATGAACTTTATTGGTAACAAGCAGATACCAATTTTTCCTAAAATTACTTGCCAAGAAATTCAAAATTAGTAAGTTTGAGGCAAACTTACATCGATTCATACAAAATCGACTATACTGGTAGCAAGCAATTAACAATTTATCACAAAAGTATTCAACAAAGAATTCAAATTCAGCAAATTTGACACAAATCTACCTGCGTTTCGTTCAAAAGCAGTTTTCCGGAAGGTCCAATTTGATGGTTTTTTACCATTAAACCTTGGTACATTCCGCCGTATTTAAATATGTCATACGTTTGAAACAAACGTTATGCCTTTCGCTGAAATAAAACCTTCTCTCAGTGTACAAAAATAATAAATGTATATGAATAATTATTATAACAAATTAAACTTTTTATTAAATGATTTTTTGAAACAAAATATATAATAATATTTTTAAAATAGCCAACCTACAAATAATCGAAAGTTGTTGATATTTTTTCTTCTTAAAACATTGTTTATAAAAAAGGTCATATCTGCGAACCCTGGTTTAAAACAACGTATTTCTTAAATAAATAAATTGTTAAAAGTTTGTTTATTTTGATTTTAATTAAAAACATTACAAAACTAAGGTCTTACCACAAAAACACTATCAACTGAGGTAACATTCCATATTAAATCATCACACAATTTTCTTGAGAAACTCCCGAAAACAACAAAAACAAAACTTCCTAAATGATTTTTTAGTTGTGGACTGTTTCATCAGCTTATCGTTGCTTGCGTTTTTATTTCGAAATTACATCATCTTTTTTCAAGCGTCGATACCCAAAACTATATAAGTTGAAAGGCGCACTTTGATAGTCATTCTGCTACAGTGTTTCTTAGCGTGCGCTTGCATTAATTTACTTTGAATAGACAATTTTTGTGTGCAAAAGTAATAGTTATTAATTAATAATTAACCATGGAGAAAATTGAGAATGTTATTGATTATTCTTACTTTATTAATACCTTTGCTGGAAGAAGAAGACCTGCTTTGACAAGAGAATTAAGTAAGTTTATTTTAAAAATATACCAAAACATAAACTAATTTTTTTATTTTAAATTTAGCTAAACGTCAATATAATGCCCCAAAAGAATCCATATCCTTAGCCGAAGGAATGCCAAATGAAGTAACATTTCCTATAGCCGCCATGAATATAGTCCTTAAGGATGGGTCATCTTTCAACCTTACAGGGTCCTCTCTAAATGCGGGGCTTCAGTATATTCCCAGTCAGGGGTACCCACCTTTAATTGAGACCCTTAAGGATTTCACAAGGCAAATCCACGACCCCCCAAAATGGTCTGACAGAGATATTATTGTCACCAACGGCTCTCAGGATGGTATCAGTAAATCTTTGGAGATGATTGTTGAAGAGGGGGACAGTGTTTTGGTTCAAAATCCTTTGTATACTGGAACAGAAATTATTGTGAGTAAAATGTTACATGTTTTATTAAAGTTAATTAGATCAATTTTATAAAATCCATTATAATAGTCCAACTTCATAAGAAAAATTACATTTCACCATGGTGGAAGTTGTTATATTTAGCTATTTAAACAAAAATTAGTTGCTATACTACAACATAAAATTGCAAAACTGGCAAATAATTTGTTACCGTAAACACGGGTGGCTTTGCAACCCTTTTATGAAAAATCTTTTCGCGCTCGATAAAATTAAATTTAATAATTTGTTGGTCTAAACCTGCAGGTTATAAAGGGTTATTAATTACCCATTATTTTCATAAAAGGGTTATTAATTACCCATTATTTTCCTTGTAAATTTGCATTAAGTTTGTAATTTAAAATTATTACAATATTGTTGTAAAATGCAAAATTGTAAAATTACAATAATGTTGTAACGAATATTTTTTACAATTTTGTTGTAAAATTACAAATTGTAATATTACAAAAAAATTGTAATTTAGGAAAATTTACACATTTGATGTAAATCACAAATTGTAAAATTACAAATATAGAATTAAGGGGTTTTTTCGCCTATTGTATAATTGAAAATAAAACAATATGCTAATTAGGTACTTGTTTAATTTAAACTTATGACAAATTTTCTTTAAAATTGTGCAAATTTTGGTCTGCTTTTAATTTTTAACATTTTTATTTTTGGGGTGGATATATATATCCACCCCAAAAATAAAAATGTTATATATATATATATATATATGTATCTATCCAAATGTATCTACCACAATAATAAAAATTAAGAGCAGACCAAAATTAACAAAATTTTAAAGAAAATATGACATAACTTTATATAAAAGTAATTAAGCCTATTGTTTTATTTTTTTTAATCACACCATGGCGAAAAAACCTCTTACTAATAACTTTTAAATTTTATTAAATTAGTTGTATTGGTTATTGAAATAAAAAAAAATAAAAAATTATTATCACATTTTATTATTCTAATAATATTATATATTATATAAAAAAATAAAAAAAATTAAACAAAACATTTACCTATATTATATAACAAATAGAAACTAATAATAAATAATATTGTCTATTTTTCATAATACAGAAAATAAATTATAATTAAAAAATATATATAGATATAAAAAATTGAAATTTTTGTTTTATAAATGAATCCTTCTTATTAATTAGGCCAAGAAAGTTTTGATTGGTGAGTTAACTTATAAACAAAAATAATTTATCTTCTGTATTATTATTTATATTAATATATTAAAAAAAACATACTTCTAAAAAATATTTAAATAAAATAATATAAATAATAATATATTAAAAAAAAATACTTCTAAAAAATATTTAAATAAAATAGCAACTTATTAAAAAATGATTTAAAAACAGTTTAACAAAAGAAAAACTCGATAAAAGTAAAACAAATTTTTTTAACTTAACTTAATTTAAAAATTTCTTAATTTATTCATTAAACGTATTACTTTTTTCTTTGAAGTTTTAATTTTTTTTGATTTTCCACCTGTGTCAGGATGCAATTTTAGGTAATTTCTTTGGACAAATTCCAAAACACAGGAAGCTTCAATTGGGTACTTCAAATTTAGGACAAAATAAAGTCCAAACATTAGCTGAAAAGCTTCCAAAAAAGTTGCAAATTGAAAACATCTCTTTTTTTCGATATAAATGTAAAGTCAACGTTTTCATTAGATAAATAAGTATTGGATAATTCTTCGATTGTATTGTTAACATTATGTTTTATTGAATGTCGGCGAAACACATGTTGCAAATTTGAAAATGCATGCATGCATTTTCAAATTTGCAACTTTTATAAAGGCTGTGGTAGATTTACATATTAAATAAAAAGGACATCTAACCTCAACTCCATAATTTATGTGATTATATGCATGTTTTATAATTTGTTGTTTATTTTTTGAAAAAAAGTGACAATTACTTACTAAACATTTTACCACAGAAGAACCTTCTGTGATTTTACGCTTTGAGAATATTCAACACTGCAATGTTCTTGCTTAATGTGTAAATATATTTTTTTATAAGTTGAAAATTCCCTTAAACAATCTTTTCTTAAGCATTTGAAAAGCGATTTATAATTAAATCTATGATATTTTAAATGATTTTCATATCGAATAATCGATTTAAATGTTAACTGACAAATATTACATTTGTAAATCATACTTACCACAAAACGATAAAAGGAACAAAACGGCACACGCTCTAACCAGGACCACGTTCTAACCAAAAAAGACATCTTGATTCGATGCATGCAAAGTTGTCGGGAGCGTCACGTGATATATTTATCTGATTTGATTGGTCAAACTTATACAATTAGTTTGTAAAATTACAAAAATATTGTATGTTTCTGTCACGTGAGTATTTTGTCTTATTTTATTGGTTATTTTTTTTTACAATAAACTTGTAAAATTGGAAAAGCATTAAAATAATACAAAGGCAATGTAATTTTACACAAACAAAGTAAAACTAATAAATATTTTTACAATCATATAGTAAAAATGTTAAGTTTTTGTAAAAATGCCAGAAATTCCTTGTAATTTTATTTTTACATGCATTTCATGACAAAAATACCTTGAAAACTCAGATAATTTTACAATAAAATTACATACATTTTTTTCAGTGTGCCAATTGAGCGATTCTATTGAGTTTATATTACAGGAAAATCAGTGTTTTAAAGAAATAAATGGGATTTATTGTACTTTAAAATTGTATATATTATTCCATTAGTGCAAAACTCTTAGAAATACACTCGTTACAATTTCTATATTATGCGAAATCCTTTGGAATGATGATCCTTGGTTAACTAGAGGTCGATTTTTTTTATCGGTAATCCTTTGCAATCGCTATATGTCGCTGCTAACGTGTGTCTAAAAAAAATAAAATAAAACATTGAGTTAATTTTATACGGAAAATACACTGTGAGACAAAGTTACCCGCAACCAGGAGGTAACTTTGCACAGCCACTTTTTAATTTTTATTTTTTAAACTAAGCCCTATGTAATATTATAACATAGATATTATGAAATAGCAACTCAAGACTCAAATTTTGGTATACAATATTTAATGTTTATGATTGTTGAAACCACAAAAATTTAAGCTTAAGTTTAAAAGTGAGCTAAAGCAACCACTTTATTTTAAAAATTTGGGCAAAAATGTTAACTTTGTATTAATTTTTTAGCTAAAACCCTTCAAGGTTAATCTTTTGGGTATCCCTCAGGACCACCATGGGATTATCCCGGCAAAACTGGTAGAAATCCTGGAAAACTGCAGGGAAAACTACACCGAAGAAGGTGGAGGGAAAATGCCAAAATGTATGTACATCAACCCCACAGCTTCAAACCCTACCGGAGTAACAATGCCCCTTGAACGCCGCAGAGAAATATACAGAATATGTTGCAAATACAACATTTTGATTCTTGAAGATGATGCTTATTATTTCTTACATTTTCTTGATGAAAAACCCACTTCTTTTTTAAATCTGGACACGGAAGGAAGGGTTATGAGATTCGACTCATTATCAAAAGTATTAAGTTCTGGACTAAGACTTGGCTGGCTCACAGGTCCAAAACAATTGGTTCAAAATATTGAGCTACACGTACAAAGTTCATATCTACATTCTAGTTCACTATCTCAGGTAAGCATTCCTTTTTTATTTTAAAAACATTCCTATTAACTTTAGATAACAACAAAAATGACGAAATTTTTTGGCAATTTTTTGTGACCTCTTAACTTTCCAAAACCTTATCTTGCTTATGTGCTTATTTCCAAAATTAGCATAATTTGACGTAAGCATACTAAAATCTTTCTCTTATCCGGTTATTACCAGATCTTTGATCTTTCATTCATGTGGCGATACATAATAAATTTAATTTGTTGACATTTAACAACTTTTAAATGTATGAAAATGGTGTTTAAAATATTAATCGATTAATTTATTTTTTAATAGGTTTATTATTGAAATTTTGGGTTTTTTTATGTTACTTAAATAATTAATGAAGATTTTAAAAAGTTAGTCTGTTTCAAAACTGGTTTTATTTTTTTTATGTAGAGTCAGGGGTGCTAATAATGAATCAAGAATATTCCCCAAAAATTTCTTTCCGCGTCCCCTAATTTCATCCCCCGAAAGGGGAGTTTTTTTGCTTTTTGGCTCATAACTCGCTAACCGTGAATTTTTTCAGAATTTGACTTCCAATACTTTTGATTATGTACTAAATAAGGCACAAGTTAAACCCCATTGCTCACCTATATGATATGCCTTTTTGCTATGCGCAGTGTGCAAAGTTCAGCGTTGCTTTCAAAATCACTTTTTTTATTTTTTTTATTATAGCCCAATTTTAAAAGTAATCGATCCCAAACCTTACGGTAATCAAATATAACCGAATTGACTATTTTTTGAGGTACTAGACTTTTTTCAAAAGTAATCGATCCCAAACCTTACTGTAATCAAACATAACCAAATGGACGATTTTTCCAGGTACCTACTAGACTTTTTTCAAAAGTTACTGATTTTCAATGTACAGGGGGTTCTTTTTTCAAAAAACTTATTTTATATTTCCCAAACGGCTTTAATGAGCCAGTTCGTTTTACCCTAGATTTTTAGTTAAACTAATCCTCGTAACGAATCCGTAGTTTTTTTTTTATTATTTTCATTGCAAGTGCCCCACAAAAATTAAAGTTTTGAAAAAGAACCCCCTGTACATTGAAAACCAGTAACTTTTGAAAAAAGTCTAGTACCTGAAAAAATCGTCCATTTGGTTATGTTTGATTGCCGTAAGGTTTGGGATCGATTACTTTTAAAATTGGGCTATAATAAAAAAAAAACAAAAAAGTGATTTTGAAAGCAACGCTCAACTTTGCACACTGCGCATAGCAAATGGCACATCATATAGGTGCGCAATGGGGTTTAAGGTGTGCCTTATTTAGTACATAAGCCAAAAAGCAAAAAATTTCCCATTTCGGGGAAAGAAATTATTGGACGCGGAAAGAAATTTTTGGGGAATATTCTTGATTCAATATCAGCACCCCTGACTCTACATAAAAAAATAAAACCCGACTACCATCGAGTTTTCCTTCTACAATCTTTGTTTCCTGGACTAAACCTCAACATTAAATATTTTAGTAGAGAAAATAAATGCAAAATTAAATATAAATTGCCATTTAAAAGTAATTTTTTTTTAATAATTTTGCTTGGATAAATTAATAAGAACTGCATAGTCTCAAAATACACCCATGTGGCAACCAAATCTAATAATTCTCTTTTTTACAGGTATTAGTTGACAACCTATTAAAACACTGGGGCTTCGACAAGCTTCTTCAGCAATTTGATTCAGTACGCAGCTACTACAAAGCACGCCGCGATCTAACCTTAGCTTCAATGGAGCGCCATCTCAAGGGTCTCTGCGACTGGACCGTACCCACTGGAGGAATGTTCGTTTGGATAAAAGTGAGGAACGTTTCCGATGTGTATGAGATGTTGATGACCAGAGGCGCGAAAAAGCTCATTACTTTCGTGCCCGGACATGCGTTCATGGCCGACCCGACCGAGGCGTGCAACTACATCAGGGCCTCCTTCAGCAAAACCAACCCCAAGAAGATCGACAAGGCTATGCAACTGTTGGCAGAGTTAATCAGGGAGGAACAAGTTTTGTTGCGCAGAAAGTTGGAGAATTGCACTTAATTTAAAGTTGTTTAGAATAGTTTTGTAAATATATAACCTTGAAAAGGTTTTATTATGGGTCCATGCGTTTTTGGCTTGGGCGCTGTAGGGATTAACTACAGACGGGAGTTGATGATTTGATTTTATGTTTTTTCTGGAAAAAGCATTTAATGTTGTTAACTTGTTAGAGTTTAAGATTTTCTTATTTCTTATTTTTTATGTGATTGTTTTAAGTATTATATAATAAATATATTTAGGAGATTAAACGGATTTTACTTAAAAAAATAATTTTGTTTCACATTCCTTTAAATTAAGATATTAATATCATATTATACAAAAATTAATCAAAGTAAGCTATTGTTACATTGTTACAAAATGAAATTATGAAACGATGAAAAAGAAGAAAAGAAATAAAATATTTGCACAGTATAAATCCTTCCAGTAGTTTTACTTTCACCCATAATATAACAAGTGGTATGATTATCATCGATGATGAAATGTGCTGTTTCCGTTTCAATGAGTAAATATTATCGATAATCAATCATACCACGAGTTATATTTAGTGAGAAAATATAATGAATTTTAGGTTTTAACGAATTGTCAGTTTGACATTTGAAATTAAACTGTGCTTTAAAAAATAAAAAGACTGTAATAACCCTTATTTATTCAAACTTACCTTAATTTTATTATCGTTTACACCAACCCATCGATCTTTTAGAGTTTATAATTCATTATTTTAATCATTTAACAAACACAGTATTTAAATGTCAACAAATGTTAAATCAAGAAAAGTGTCAAAATCCAACGTGTAAACAAGGTGATAAAAAATATTGTCGCTGTGATAAAATGCGTAACTATGGAATACTGGCATTTTATTGGTTCTAATTATAAGAATTGTATTGTCCTTAAAATTATATATATATAATTTTAATTACAATTAATCCCTTCCTAAATTACCTGAATCTGGGATCACGGCACATGTATAAAAATGTCCGTATACAGGACAACATAAACAACTACAAAAAAGTTATTATCAAGAGTAGGTAGTTATGTTATAACATGTATTAGTATGTGTAACTTCAGGGTAATTCCATTTAGTAGCCACCAATGAGTGCACCTCATATACTCTAATTTTATTTCTTTTTTAACTGTAAATATACAAGGACGTAAGAAGTAAAAAAAATCCCCTTTTCTTTTCTCCCCCATCACCTATTTATACAGGGCCACGCAAAAGTTACTGTGCAGACCTAACTTTAAAAAATTGTACTTCTTTTGCTAATAAAGTTATCGACATTAAACAAACTGTTAATTGTATATACATATGTATGTAACTTATCTATACTTCGCCGACGATGGACTAGTGGTTAGTGCTTCTGACTACAAGACGGAGGTCGTGGGTTCTAATCCCACCAGGGGTATGGCTGTTTATGTTTGTCCTATTGTGTAATAGTCCTTCGGAGGGGACTTTAAGCCCGCGGTCCGTTCATACTCCTAACCCGCACAAGCCATTCAGTTGGCTTCTGGGACTTCTTAGGAAGTAAGGTTGGAACTAAAAGAGAAAAAAAAATATTATTAATTATTAAATATAATTTTATATCGTGTCATTGGTAAAAAGATTTTGGAAATTTTTCTCTCGACCCAGCCTATTTTTTAATGTTCAATAAAAAATATAATATAATAATAATAATAATATATAATATAGCATATTTTTTACTCATTTGTTTAAACAAAAAACTTTTTGGAAATTTATATATAATATCCCTCTATGAGTAACAATGAGTATACTTTCATGGGCATCTTTTATTTAAAGAGCTACAAGGTCGGTTAAATTAGAGAAAAAGCATATTAAAATAAAGTTTATAAATTGGAAAAGAAGCCACCGGTTCTCAAAATATTTGATATACAGGGTAAAAGTCAACGATATTCTTTGGAGGACTAATAGACCAATTCATGACCAACCAGAAAATCCAAAACATGACCTTAGTAAAAAATCGATAGTTTTTGAGATATTGTGATTTCTATACATTTTGTAAAAGTTGACACCTTAGATCAAATTTTCGAGTGTCACAACTACAAAATTTCATATTCTAAGATTTTATTTTATGTTGATTGATTGACAAAAACAAATTTTGAATGATTTTATACATTTCTTTATTAGCTTACCTACTTTAACCATTTAGACTGAAAAAAAATATGTTATGCTAACTTGGCAAGATGTTTTAAAATATTGCTTATTTAGTTTAGTTAAAATGGTATAACATTGGTCATCCCAAGCAGCATTTTAAGTAAAAGCGTAGAGCTTTGAGGCAATATTACTTAATTTAAGTAAATATTTGGTTAAATTAACCTTAAAAATTTACTTTAAAGTAAAACTGTTTTTAAAGTTATTTAATAGGTTTTATTTATGTTATTTTTGCCTATTTTAACAACCATTAAGTTTCAACACTTTAAAGTATTATGAGGGACGTAATTTTTACTAAAGAAAATTACTTATAAGTGTATTTCACCTAAAGGAAAATTTAACGGTAATTTCAACGTCAGAATTTTTACTTAATGGTAAATGTTACTCATAAGTCATAATTTTACGATATTAAGACCACTTTATAACCGTAAATAATTCCTATTCGACAGGTATTTTTTAGGGTTATTAGTGGTAATAAATACTATTAATATTGACTAAACAAGGAAAAATAAGCTCAAAGTGAAAAATAAAACTTTAAGGGAAAATTTTTTTCAGGTCGCCATAATGAATTTTTTAAGATGGCATCCATTATTTATCTAAACATGTATATGATATTTTTTCATAAATATTTTTCTAAAATATAATAAATAATGTTTTAGTTATTAAAAAATTATTAAAACTAAATGATTTTTAAAAGATTTTATAAAATTTTGTAGGTTTTAAGTTTTGTTGAATTTTTACCCAAGCAATAATTTTTCTTAAAACCGTAAAATATTTAGAGGGTATATAATTTTTAAGATGTCTCCTGCCTATTTTTATCAATAAAATAATGTGCGTTTAAGTTTTAATGCAAAATAATATTAGTTTTGACAATTTAAGTTATATTTTATAATTTTACTCTAGGGTGACCTTTATTACTTTATAAGTACCATTTTGTGAAATATAAATTAAAAGAACAAAGAACGAATGTCAATGTTTTTGAAAGAGAGAGCAAACAGTTAGTAATTATAACGTTATTTTTACGTAAATTTGTGGTATTTATATTGTTTTTTTTACGATATTCTCTTAGTTGATCAAGAAGGTTATTATGTAGGTAAAATAACGAAATAAACCATTCCCCAAATTTGGTAATTTCTCGTATCTATACCGTTGTAAAACCGTTTTGATTAACCGTAAAAAATAATTTAAAGTTGACTTAGTTGACTTAGTTGTAGTTATTTAAACTTAAAATGCTGCTTGGGATGGTATACTTTAGAGAAAAATATATTGCTGTTTTACTGCAAAACGAGCTGGTTGTGAAATTATTTCAATAATTAGAAATTCAAATGAAAACACTTATTTAATGAAAGTAACAGATATTTATTTAAAACTAAACGAATCACAAATAAAAATCAAAAGATATGTTCAAATTTTCTGCCACCAAGTCGAATTCAAGCGCGGCATCTTTTTAAAAATGATCGTTATTCGTCTTGCACTTCCTATGTTCTTTATTAATTTTGTGTGCGGCTTTATTAATCTTTAATTTAGGATTTAAATCCGGAGACCAGGCAGGCCCCAATGTAGGACCAAGACGAACGATCCATCTTTCTACACTGAAAAAAGTCAGTATTAATTTTTAAGTTTTAGGTGAATTTGAGGCCAACCTTTTATTATTTAAAACACTGTCTATAAAAGTTAAGAACCGTAATTAATTTAATGAAACATTCAATATTATTATAATAAGTGTTTCCTAACATTTAACTCGTAGAGCATTTGGGTACATGAATTTAATGTAACCCTGCGTGTCTTTATTATTAAGACAATTTTCTTTAGGGTAAATATATAAACATTTATTTATATTGGAAGTACTTGTTTCTTTATTGTTAAGAATTCAGGGATTTTATTAAATAATCAAGCTATTATTGTTATAGGTTATATAGGGATAAAACTATAATGCACAATGAATTTATTTTAACGTTAGTATTCGTTGTTTACATTCCTTGCAAGCATCAGAAAGAAATCATAACCTATAACAACAAGTTGGTATTGCGTCATTGGTACGAGAGCCTCCATGCAGATACTTTGTACGTTTTGTCGGTTTCATAAAACAGTTTTTTGTGTTTATGGTAAAGAAACAATGTCATGTAAGGAGCAACTGGAGGGTTTAGGTCTATTCCCAAATTCGAAGGTAAGTGTTTTGACCTCATGTAAATTAATTTGGGAAAGGTACATTTGTGATATATAGGTGACTCTTTTTTATTATTTAGAAGAAGCCATTACGCTTGAAGTGCTGCTAGTCCTCGACTCGCAAAGTGTTTTCCAACTTATTTCTAAATTAGGAGAGAGATTTGCAGTCATCAAAAAATTACAGAGTTACGAGATAAGCAGGAGCAATTAATGATCTTTTATCAGGTAGTATTTTTGTTAACTGTTTTAAAGATGTGGTCAGAGTATGCGACAGTATTAAATTTTGGCCGATCAAGGTGCTCTGACCACAGCCTAAGAGTATTTATTTAGTCCATTTTGTATTTTTATATTCTATAAAATAGGATATTATAAAATTGTTTAAAAATATTATATGCACATTTTATTTCTCATCAATCAAACAAAAAGTATGAAATTCAGGCTTTACATTAGTATACATTAGTCAAAAAAATTCTATAGTGGAAAGGCAAAACGTTGCCAAATCAGCGGATTTTGAGATTTTGTTATTTATGTGGTCCGTACTTTTGTATCAATAAACATTTTTTTGTCTACTTAAAATTATTCAAGTGCTAACATAAATACAATTTTGATAAAACAAAAAAAAATAATACCCAAGTACATGTCTGCAGATCAAAACAAAATCTCTCAATCCGATAATTTGGTACTTAGTTTTGCATTTTCACTTTAGTACATATTACCTAAAAATGCTGTTTGCTAGCAGGCTCCAAGCATTAAATAATAAGACATTGTTTTAACAACAAATACATTTAATGTGTTTCAAAAATAAGCCTATTCTAGATGTTAAGGCAACTCGATGTTGACTTAAAGTAATGATGCAGTTAAAAATAACTCAACTAACTTTCAATATTTCAAATCCACCATGCATTTATATCAAATGCAC